TTGGGATGTGGATTAACTGGGACATGATGTACAATGGTGATAGCACCTAAAATTAAGATAGTAACCACTCACTTACTACAGTGAACCCTTTTCAAGAGGTTTAAAATGACCATCATTTATACTTTTTCAATATGAAATCAGATTTGGATCTAGTCTTAGGCAATCAGATAAGGGTTATATTTAAATATTCTTATCTCCAAAAATGGCTGCGAATTAAAACAAAAAGTAATTTAATACACAGTTATCATCAAAATAGCATATTAAATTTGTAAGCATTTGTTTTTAATATTTTTTAACCCCATGAAAGTTCCTTTTTGGTTATTAAATCTTATAAACATCAAAACTAAACATTTGTACATCTTTGTCAGAGGGGAGTAACTTTTGTCCTGTATTTCTTGGAATTTGGGCTTCCATCTACATGAAGAAATATAATGCACAATATGATACAATACAACTTGATAAAATATAATACAATATGATACAATACCACTTGATGGAATATAATACAATATGATACAATACAACTTGATAGAATATAATACAATATGATACAATACCACTTGATAGAATATAATACAATATGATACAATCCCACTTGATGGAATATAATACAATATGATACAATACAACTTGATAGAATATAATACAATATGATACAATACCACTTGATAGAATATAATACAATATGATACAATGCCACTTGATAAAATATAATACAATATTATGATTTACTATATTTTTCGTGCAAAAAGTCCATGAATCCCCATAATACTGCAAAACGCAATTACAGTATAATCAAATTTATTGTGTTAAATAACACAATGATATTGATACAATGCACTTTAATATAACACAATTGATTTGATACAATGCACTTTAATATAACACAATTGATATGATACAATGCACTTTAATATAACGCAATTGTTATGATACAATAAAATAAGGTATGATACAATTCAAATATGATTTAAAATAAAACAATATGTACAGATACAAAACAAAACATTTCTAGAAATCAGCATACTACTTAGATTGAGGAAACCAAAAACCTTTACTTGGATCATTAAATCCCTTGCAAGTATGTAATTATCTCAGAATTATAAATAATGATGAAAAATTACAAAACTTTAGTAATCTGCCTCTGTGCTGATTTGATTGTTTATTCTTACACTAGTTGCCTATCACCCTCCTGTAATCTATCATCCAATCAACTAACATATATGTACACTCCCCAAATAAGTATGGCGACTATAGTTCCCCATTACCCTCCTGTAATCTATGATCCAATCAATTAACATATATATACACTTCCCAAGTTAGTATAGAAACTAAAGTCCCTTTTTGGCCATATGTTAATATAAAGCCTGGTTAGGTTTAAACAGTGGTGAAAACTTCATCATTTTTTGTACATTCAATTGGAACTTCTGTTTGCCAAACTTATAATGGGGAGTGTATATTCCCTTTCAGGAAATGCTTAAATTGCTGGTGTGGTTGTTTTGATTTTCAGTAAACACTTAAATTGATAATGTTAGGGATTTGTCTTTGATATGTTTACATGTATTTTTTACAGTTTACTCATTCAAGCTGGGGAACTGCATTGCAATGAATGTATTCCATGCAGGTGAACTGCATTGCAATGCATGTATTCCATGTAGGAGAACTGCATTGCAATGCATGTATTCCATGCAGGGAATTGTTGCATTGTGTGATAAGATTTTCAAGCAGCTCTCATCTCTCATTTTTCATCCAAAATCTAATTTACAAAATACCCTCATAATCTTCATTATCTTCTTGTTGTTTACCCTTAACAGAACTCTTCCCTTTAAGTTCAATATGATTTTACATTGATTTAACCACTATGGGTGCCTTATTCAAGGTAAATGGTAATTAACATTGGTTATCAGTTTTTAGATAATTAACATTTTTCCAGACACTTGTTTTGTTGAGTAACACCAAATGTTGACCCACTACTACTATAACAAGCAGTCAACCAGTCAGGTCATCATGATTTCTTAATTTTCTTTGAGTTAAACTCTTAGAATTGGAATTGAAAGAAATATGTCATTTAAAACCTGCCATATTATATATGATTCCTTGTTAGTTATTGTTTGTATTGCATTTTCAATGAGTTTAAAAATCATGGAACATTTTTTGTTAAGGTTGTGGTTTCTTAATTCATGTCTGTAACCTATCTTGTGAAGTTTTTTTTCATGATATTAAGTAGTCCAATATGCATGACTTAGAATACTCAAAGGGCAACAATAAACTTCACACAGCAAAAACTAGTTTGAATTTTTCACTCTTTATGCCATGTTTTCAGAAAGTGTCATGAACTTGATATCATTTCAGAATTTTGTAACATTTATACAAGTTGATAAAAATAATGGTAGACAAAATGAAAAATAAAGAGATGGGATATATGAACAGTTTGAAAACTCACTGATGGTTTATAAATGGCAATCATATGTGACCAAAATATCAGATGTACGAAATCTTTTTTGACAAATGAACATGAATTTTTAATTGAATTTGATTATAAAGTTAGCCTCACGAAACCCCAGTTTCCGATAACCTTGATTAAATTCTTTCTCCTGTAATGCTTATTCCATGCCATTTGTCTCCAAATCTCAATAATTTGTCAGATTTTCTTAAATTTCTATATTATTTAGACTGCCCCCTACAAGCCCATATACATTATTCCTTCCTAAATTCCCTCCTTTTTGCTTTATTTCACATTTTAAAACATGCATATCATGATGTTTTATACATGGGAATGAGACTTATCTCCCAAAGATCTTTGACATTTCTCTAGTTGTAATTACCACTGTCATATTTCTGAAATTGTTCCATGCCTTCTGATAATATCGGGGACATTGCGATCGCTCTCAAACAAGATCAACAGCGTTTAATTATGGTTATCACGCTATATTATCATATATAATTCATACTTCTGTTTCAAGTCCTTTTGTTTTTAATCACTAATGAGACAATATATGGAAAAAATACTTTCGAATTAAATTCATGTAATTCATAAATACTTGCTTATACTGGATTTAAGAAAGTAAACAAGACTAGAATGTTATATATCATTTTAAAGTTTTTTATGACTCGTTTTGATGATTGAGCAAATAATAAGTCAACTGAAGTCTAAAGTGTCATTGTTTAAGTTTCCAACTTTTTTGTGGATAGTGTTCGGCGGTTGGTTTTAGAAGTTTGGTATCTGTTACAAATGGCATGTAGTGACATGTGTATGTTAATGCCTTTGTTATTGTATCTAGTATATTGTTATAAGTTTCCATCTTTCCTGCTTTAAATCGAAAAAGAATTATAGTAAACAACAATCGACCAAACTAATAAATTCAAACATCAATTTGAAAATCTGCATTCTTTATACTGTTATTACATAATATGATTTAAAGATGAAAGCACGTCGCTTTTTAAAATGATGCAGTGGCAATTTTGTAGGTGCAAAATTTGATGGATAAAAAACTGCAGTGTTTCTCTTTTGATCGGATAGATTTGAAAGACTGATAATGCAGTTTGAAAAGTCTGGGATTTTCTTAGTTCGTCGAAAATAGACTGAAATCCACATCAGTTGATTTCATCTTGTAACTGACTCTTGCCTATAGTCAAAATATAGATTGTTTTTAGATTATCGCGGAATATTATCAACCTAGAACAAATTGAAGAAAGGCAATGTGTCAATCAGAAACAGTTACAATCAATTTTTCTGCAGATTTGTCTTGATTTGTGTCCAGAAGTTGATTTAGACCACTGTCAATCATTAGTCGTGTTTTAATTATGTGATCTAAAAGTATGATTGGATTTGGATTTGCGAGTTTCCTTAAGGAGATAATTGTAATTAGGGAGATCTCCTTCTAAAGGAGTCCTTTGTCATGGTATATGATTCATGTTATATAAGTCTACACTTATTGAAGTAAATTCAGTAGAACTTATTTAAAAATTGAGCAGCTTGTTTACCCAACTAAATATTTAAGGGATTAGGAGTTCCTGTTTTTTTTACAAAAAGTATGATTTTTGTCTCTTTCACCTGTACGATAAATTTCCATCTTACGTGAAAGATTTCAAGACATTACCCATCATCAAAGTATTATTTCTGACACCTTTTAAAATGCAAAATATCGTGAAAAGGATTGATCAATGGGAGAAACGAACTTATCAGGCATGTAAAAGATACTCTTAATATTATAGAAATACCACAAAATCAGCTATCTCGTCAGAAATTTTGAGAGAAATGGCATGAAAAAGCATGAACGGAACAAAACAAGAACAAACAGTTTTTGAAATCAACATCTTTAATCCACTAATTGGTCATTAGATAAGTGGTATGAGATAAAGTGAGAAAAATATCGTTTCTTTTGACCTCATCCAATATTTTTCATTTCCCCATTAAGTCTATCTTATAAACAAAGATAAGAACTTACAACATCTTTGAGATTTCTGAAGATTTCTCAATTCTTTTGGAAGTTGTGTTTGACTGAATGTACTAACTCATTGTCTAGTGTTTATCTTATGAAGTGGAGGGTCTCTGGATTTCTTGTATTTAGATCAGGTTTTTGTACCCTGGGCTTCAGAGCCTAGAACAACAGATGACACTCTCCTTTGAAGAATTAATCAAAATGAAACTGTTGGAAAGTGGATGTTCTTTGGAATAAGGGGTTTAACATCCCCCCCCCATCCCTTATATTGTAGAGGTCAAATCTAACCACACAGTGTTTTAACATGTAGCATTTAGGTGTATACTATTATTACATCTTGCCTTTGCTAGAGTTAACTAAGAGTAAACATGGAATTCAAGATGTGTGATTAGATTCTTGAATCAAATATGCTTGGCAAAGTAATAACCACTTAATTCAAAATAAAAATCACAAAATTTGAATTCAAAACAAGATTATTCGTTCTATATTGTTTCCAAGTAATTTTCACTGAAAAACACATTGGAATTCATGATATAAATTTTTAATTTATACTTTCAGGAAAATCTGAAGATGAGTTGGAGGAACTGGCAAAGACGTTACATCTTCCCGCAAATATTCTGCACATCTACGAATCTGACGATAACCACTACATGATTCGTAGCTCCATCACACTACCAAAGGGAAGCAGTTTTGGACCATTTAAAGCCCAGGTTGTTCCTGAACACAGCGATACAAAGCCAGATCATGTTATACAGGTAAAAAAAAGTGTGCAGTATAACCGTTCAATCTGATTTACCAATGGGACAGGTTGCAGGTTAAAATATGAAGAATTGATAGCCACATTAAAATAGAGACCCATCGAAAAATAACTAGAAGACCCATCTAAATTTTAGCATGATATTTTTGCCAAACATGAAATATGATGCCGTATATATCCAGAGTCTTAACATCTCAAAAAAGCTAATTGGCTCAATCATATTAGTAAAACTATATTTTGCTAGACGTTTGTTATGTTCTTGCGGATGTCATGTAGGTTTGACCTATTTATACTCACCAACCTTAAATACATATTAATGACATAGAACACTCAGATATCAGTGAGTGATATTAATTCAGTTGAATATAGTAGGGAGATAAAAGATCCCTTACTTGTCCGAAAAATGTTACAGTTGCATTTTAAAATGCAAAATAGAGTGGAATTTAGTGAAATGAACAAGACATGAAAAACAATGGTATGTAGCCCTTACTCTAAATTGTGTAGAAATGCAAAAATATTATAAATATGTCAACTTTTGAAGGAATTTAGAGAGAAATAAGCAAGAAAAGCATGATTTTTTAGATTTGGGTAATTAGCATAAAGATATGCTTTTGTCTTATCTTTTTAACCCAGCTTGATTATTAATGTTTCTCCCCTTATTAAACTCAAGCCTGAAAAATTCATACCCGTGCGATAAAAATCTTTGAATATATTTGAGGGAAATTAAGCATGCTGTATGTGAAGTTGATAGAGATGCATCATCATTATCTGAACTAAGATTGACTGATATCCTGCTTTGGAAAATCCGTCTGATCATCCTATTTCTCAGTATTTCTCTCTAAAATTTGAATGAACTGTCTGATTTATTGGCATTTCTATACAATTTAGAGTGTCCACTACATGTCTGTTTACTTTATTCCTTGCTAATTCCACTCTTTTATACTTAATTTCACATTTTAAAACGTGACCAGTAGGGTGTTCTGAAAATTACATACTTTAAGGAACATATGTCAGTTTTGATAGATTCTTTTTCAAATGGATTGAATCTAAAATGTCAACTCTGGAGGAAACAACAGCTGATTTAAAGAGATAAAATTAAAATGTATATATGTCATCGAAATACTTTTCTCTAGGTTAAAAAGATTCAACCTTAATAGAGATCAGATCTAACAATATGGTATATAATTCATTTCTAGTTGTCAAGTTTTTTAGCTGTTTTATTCCATTGCGGCCAGCATCATATTTTTGTGCACAGATTCTAATCATTAACATTAAAAATACAGCCTGTTTGAAGAACATATATCTGAAAATATATCTCCGTCAATGGCATTCTTATTTCTGCATTTTCCTAGAACATAAATCATAACCTACATTTAACAGGGTGCAAAACTAAAAGAGAAAATGCAGGTTTCTCTTTTAAGACCATATATTTATTTCCAAATATCTGTGTACTTATTTTCTAAAAAGCAAGTTGTGGTAGAAGGAATTGCAGAAATGTGATGGTTTGAAATTTGGAAATATGACTCAGGTCTCTACATGTTTTCTATGTTTTACTGTTATGCGACTACATGGATATGTTTTGAAATTAAATTTGGGTGTCTATGGACACCATCCGTGTATGATTCACTAGATATTAATATATTTTGTAATCATTGGCAAACCTTATCATATGTTGATGAGGCATAGGGTGTCTATGGACACTCTTCCGATACTGAGATATAAACACTCAGTGACTGGAATCATTGAAAATAAAATAGTGTCCATGGACACCAACATAATATAATTCTTTTGGCAAAGGTGTCTATGGACACCAAGAAAAGCAATCAGTATTTGAAAGCCACAAATTCATTAAGAAAACATAACGTCTCCAGTATTGTGATAGTGAGGAGTCTATGGACACTCATATGATAGAACCTCCAACGTATACCTACATAATTCCCAAACAATTAAATAAAGAGTGTCTATAGACACCCTCGAACACAGCATATAATACAGGACGGCGTCTATAGACACTGCGATAACGAACACATGAAACAATAAGGTCTGTATGCAGATGAGAGGTGTCTATGGACACTTACAGAATCAAACATCAGATCTTACCATTTATACTGATGCGTATTTATTACCATATTAGTCATTTATATACAAAGCGTTTCGTCTCTTCAGATAAAAATTGATCTGTTTCATCATTTGTAGACAACACAGACATATTGACATATTGACGATCAATCACAGTGTGACCATAACTAACGAAGAACATTCTTGATTCTGGTAAACAGGTGTAACACAAACGTTTGAAAAGGTAAAACAGTTTAGACGTCTAGTCCATATACGCTTGCTACAGATCTTACTAGACTTCAAACTTCAACATAATCAAACAAGCTAGCAAACATTCACTTAAGTTGAATTGCTATCTTAGGTTTAATTATTTACAATATACATTATGGGACAAAATAATATAAATGTATACAATTTTCTTTCTTAAAATAGACAGATTACATATATGAACATTTATCTATATGGAACCAGTAAGTCAAATAATTACATATTACATGTAATGAAATAAATTACTTTAAATGTCTATGATCGTGCGGCAAAAATACAGGAAGTGATTATTTTATTTAAACAAGCTAATATGACAAAAAATCAGTATTTTAATAAGGTATCCCGTGGTTAAGTTTTAGACTTCTCATTGTACTCGTACATGTGCAATGGCAATGTTAAGACAAATGAGTGAGCTGGAGGTGTATGAACACGTATATGATACATAAAACAAATACCAAATTAATCAAGATGGTATGGTCTGAATATGAGTTGTCTGCATGTATACATGTAAACTATTTGTTTATTTATATGTCTGGACATACAAAACAATGTCTGAACATACAAAACAATGTCTGAACATTCAAAATGCTCTTTAACTTACAATTTGGATACAATTGATGACAGGCATGATATAACCTTTGCTTGGTCTTGCATCAAAGTAATTATAAGGCTATTTTTTGATATATTAAGAAACCCACTCTGGACTACAAAGAAATTTTCAATGGCAATATTGACTCCCACTTTTGCCTGGTCCTTCTTATTAATAAGACACATATTTTTGCTAATTCGGAGTAACTTATTAAACTCGTCTATCTTTGATAGCTGCCGTTGACAGTAATATATCAAGTCGTCCTCCTTCACCCCTAAAAACACGTAGTCTTCCCACCTAGCACAAACGATCTGCAAAACCAAAACCCACAAATTAAAACAAAATCCCTCAACCAACATTTCAAATACATTAATTAATATATTAAGATACTCTTTTTAAAATGTTTAGTATAAATATATATATTAATTGAGGACAGAACATACCAAACGATATTTAAAATGCAAATATTTTTCTAATTTCGGTTCTTTGAGTTCGACAATTGACAACTGTGACATGACCTAGGCCATTTGTAAACATTTATACACAAGTAAAATTAAAATGTCAAGCAATCAATGCTAAAAATGCGTTAAAGTTTTCCATCCAAAGGTACTTCTTTCACCAGTTGTTTTACAATCAAAGTATTTGAAGAAAAGCTAAGTAAGCGCATAAAATATAGCTTCATATTTCAAATTGAAAAATATTTTACCTCTCGAGATGATGTCTTCCCAGACTTTTTCTGCTGACTCAGGGCAGTGTGCTGAAAGCAAACAGTTTTATTTAAATAAAAATTAAATACTTGACTTCTGCACATTATCATTTCCCCCCTCAATGTATTCCTTCCATTCAATAAATCAAGCTAGATTCACTTTGTTTAACTTGTTGACAGTCTAATTGCTCCTGGTAGAAACATTAACATGTGAACATCTAGAAGGGGTTCAAGGAATTGAGACATAACTGATCAAATCTGGTATCATTTAATGAACATAAATCTTTGTAAAGTCTATACTTTCTCACCCCTCTATCTAAAAAAGTTGTGTATGTTTGTAAAGTATGACACACCACAGGGAAGAACTATTCAAGATATGCACAACTATATTTAGAAGTCAAGACAGCACCCCTTTGTCTTAAAGTCTAGTTTCCCTGAAGTTACCATTCTCCTTTAAAGATTCTTACTTTGCAAATTGTAACAGAACATGGATTTTAGTATGATCTTCATTAAAAAACAACTATGCATGTGGAAATTCTTTCAAAATCCATAGATTCGCTTTGCCGGTTTTGTTCAAAAAAGCTTTTTACATTCAAAAGTAAGATATGTAAATCCAATTAATGCAAGATAGGTAACTGAAAGTATCAAAACGTAAGAAGGAATTCATATAACATTAGATGAGGCACATTATCACCCTACATATATAGGCAGTAAATGTTACATGGCATTAATAAGACAATGATCATCATTAACAACATCATTTGCTGAGAAAATCAAGAGTATCAATGACCACTAGAACTGAACAGCAACCAGAAATTCAGGATATTACCCCACAAATAAAGAGGAGAAAGTTGAAGAAAGTAAAGTGATATTGAAGTGACTCATTGATTGACTTTAACATAACATAGTATCTATCTTAGATTAACATTTGGATTAGAAATTAGCATTAGCTCATTTATGGGTATTTAATCATAGTCCCTTGCTGAAATTTGGTAAGTCAATTTCACTCTCAATTCTTGACGCATTTTATCAACAGTTATGCTTTTATAAACACATACACCTTATAAAGATAAACCTTATAAGAATACTGTTACCAAAAGTTTTAAATTGACCCTATCATAAGTTATTTTAAAGCCACAAAACTGTATTTCAGTCTTAAATAATATGCAAGGGCAATCTACTGAACATCATGTAAATAGCCCTACAGAAATGTCTGCAGCAGTTATAGCATAGGCAGATATTTGATATCTTGGTATATCACCGCATATTTTTCCAAATACGCATGTTCTAAAGTCATTCATAACTTTTTGTTTATATGGTACTGTCATGTAATTCTTGATGGAAAATATAAAGGATACCTTTATTGTTTTAATCATCAAAAAGTGAATAAATTAAAATCACTACATTCTGAGCATTTAGACTCTAAACTTGACATAATTGTAAAAAAGCCGCATGTAACTGAATGGCAGAATAAATGTGAGACTTTGTTTACTGCTGCATGGAGTAAAGCTGGAGATTTGTTTAAAAGTTCAGTTGGAAACAGCTGTGTCAACTCATAAACAAGTATTAATGTTTTCAAAAATTATTCTCAAATGAAATTCGACAGTTTCAAATTTAGCATAATATTTACCTGTGCACTTATTGCATCACAGAGCTCATTTGTATTCACATTGTCTATCAAATTATCTGTATCCCCTGTTCTGCAATCTGAAAATATAGACAGTAGCCCAACTCACACTACGTATATAATTCCAAGACGTCTTGGCTAAAATGTTTTAGAAAATTAAATTTGAGTTTATAGGAATTATAATCGCATTTAAAAATTCAAATTATGAAGTTCTAGTGTACAGTGTGTCTCATTATATCCGTCCCCCAACCATAGTCTTTCCGAAAGCACCCATACAGCATTCTATACAGCATATTAAATCTTATTTAATTCTTAACATATAGGCCAAATATTGTCATGATTGAACAATGGAAACATAATCTTTGTTATTAGTCACTATCATGATTGGCTTGCTTTATCACGTTACTGACATATAGATTAAAAAGAGGAGCGGCTTGCAATTAAATGTATTGTACCATGGACTTTCGACGAGAAGAGTAGGCAACTTCCTATATTTCATACATAAGCATTGCCTTGGTTTTCAAAATTGGAGAAGATACACATTCCGAGAAAATCTTATTTTGTACTTTCTTGCTCATTTTGAAGGTCTCATGTTATAACACAGAGTTGCATACCCTTATAATTGAAAGCCCATGATTGTACATTTCAAAACAGGAAGTATTTTTTGTCTATCAAAATCGATTTGCACCCTACATCCCTACTTCTTACCCAAATATGTTACTAAATAATAGTATAATCTTTGGTTTTACAAAGTATGATATCTGATAACTGTAAATGTTGTTTTTGGAGCATTTTTATAGCCATTTTGTAGGGATGTACAATCGTTTAATTTAAGTATGACCTGAATCGATTGCAAACATCATTTTTGCACATTTGATGAGATAAACCATTTGTGTCTTATTGTGAAATTATTAAGTTTTCAGGCCATAGTGTATTTTGGTGTTTTTGTGATAATCAATGGAAACAAATTGCCTCTATTGAGATCTGATGGACATGTTAAGTCGATGGTGCACAGCCCAATGCAATTCAATACAACCTTGCTGAACTACTAGTTGACCCCTATCTCAGCCAAATGTATACCCACAGATTTAAACATTTACCCAATAATTATGTGACATCATATTCATCATGTTACACCTAAGAATGATTCATTTTGACCATTGGGGTATTTGCCATTTATCGCACCTCATCCTTAGCATTTCTATGTCTATCGAATTAAGATGTTAACTCACCTTGAGTTGTTGCCTGCGGATCAATCTGTTGGCCGTACTTAGCTTCCCGTCGTCTTTTTGACTCTGCAATACGTAAGCAAAATGCCATCAAGTTCCAATTGAAAAATTGCACAAGGCAAAAATCGTACAATTACTATAATTGTATTACATTTGTCAGTATAGAAATGTAGAATAGGCCTAAAGATACATTTCACTAGAAATGAGACCCAAGTTGCAATTTTTAGTCAAAGCTATGAATGAAATACCTAAATGACACTATTGGGGTAAAACACTACATGGAATTAACAGAATTTTCCATATTCCCCGCTCTCTCATTGGTCTATGCATTACAGTTACAAAAATAAAAGACGTATTCAACAGCCATGCTTATTACAACCCAAAAAGGGTATTCACCAGTAGAATATATTCGTCCAGTACAGTGTAAATTTGAAAACAAAGTAATGTTCTCCCATTTTCTTGTTCTTATAAAACATTCCAAATAAGAAAGTGGGGGATACAAATATTCCATACAATTTTCGGTAAATTTCTATTGCATATCATCACTTACTAAATGCGATATCAATATCTAGAGCATGTTCATCCGTTTCCGTTCGAGCAACATCTCTACTTCGCTTCACACCAGACGTTCCGCTTTGATCAGTGATAGCCTTAAAATAAAATATTATTCTTCTATGGATACGCGTGCAAACATTTTCAGAGTCGAATTGATGAATTATTTCTTTACTGAGTTTAACTGTCATCTATAGTTGATTATACAAAACTTACAAGTGAGGAGTCGGTTGCAGGAATAATCTCGCTGATATCGCTTACATTGCTTTGTTTTTCATAGCCTTCTGACAACCTTTTAAATTGCTTTTCAAAATCTGAAATAAAAGCATTTTTGATAAGCTTTCATTTACCATCCATCCACAGTAGCGACAGCTACGTATTTGGAACCATGTTATTACATTTTTGTTGCATGCAATTTAGGTCGTATTGTTATTGTATAAACAATATGTTTGCCTGACCTTTTTACACATATCATTCTAATTCTAGTTCTTATACGTAGCCATAAAATACTACTATGGTGTATCTTTAAGTAATTATTCAGCCAGTGGTTATATGACTTACATAACTTTTCGTTTTTCAGCTGTCGAATAGTTTCTTTGAAATGTTCGTGCTGTTTCTGATCGAACTCTGCCTCTTTCAACTTGTTTTCAACACCAGTCAAATCAGTCTTTGCCTTTAAATACAATTAATACAATCGTGATTATACAGATAACCAGCTCCCGTACGAGCTGAAGAAACTATCCAACCAATGTAAAACCTTGATGATTAATTCAATTTCTTTCATGTGAACACATACATTTTCTTAACAAATTAACTATAGGCTATCCTTTTTAGTTTTGAATACAAAAGAAGTATCACCAATACACTGTTGTTTTTCTTGGTTATGAACTCAAACGACTTACCACCGTCATTGGGATAACGCTTACTAGTATTAGAAACCTACCTTGGTATACATTGCCGTCATAGCAGTAAGATCTTTATTAGATTTCCGAAGGCTGCTTTTCATATCCAAGTAACTTTTCTCAATCTAAAAACGATATTTTTATTTAGTATTTCAATTGATGTAGAGTTTGTAGGGAATTGTTTGTTAAAATAAATAGTATGTAGTATTAGTATGCTTAAAACAGTCTACACATCAATTAGTCAATTTATCAAGAGGTATCTGCAGCAATCAAGTTTTGAGGGATCGCGTTTTTCTACTATATACCTTTGAGTAGTTATCTGACACTCTCGCCAGGTCATCCTTATATCTCATTGCATTCTGTTCTGCATTGGTCAGTTCCTGCTTACACTGAAATATGGCAGATTGAAGAATTACGGAAAATGTACCGACATATCAAAGTGAGAAGTAAACGTAATAAACATTTTTGTATAGTTTATTACATCCTGATGTAACAAGGAAATGAGCGTTTTAAAACATTCTACGCACAAATCCAACTGAAACATTATCCAAACTCAACCGTAAGCAATTGCATTTCTCAACTAACTTTTGAAATTACTGGTGAAGGTTTATGCATACATACGTATGTTATGCTATGGCTGGTACACGTCTGATACAATATATAGACAGATAAAGGATTCTTCTAATTGTGATCTGAAGAAGTGGATGGAGGGGGGATACCTTATTTTCGCTCGAAAATTCAACAAATCTGGGGGCATGGACCAACCCCCCTTGGATCTACTGTTTGCAGGGTATACTCTTATGTAAAGTTAATTATGATACTAGCGAATTGGAAAATACCATTCTGTATGGGTATTGATTGAAATGCAATTTTAAATCCAGGTGCCCCTTTGAACACCGAAGTGGAATTTAATATCATGTATTGGGCATATAGCATAATATTTTGTACCTGTAAATACTTAGTTGTCATAACTTCCAAGTCGACTTTTAATTTATCCACCACAGTGTCGTCTTTAGGTCCAGATACATTCTAGCAACGCATATAAAAACAATATTATTTGATATATAAAAGAAATACAATGATTACTTCGAAAATAGTGCTTTTAATGAAATGATTGGCTACAATTTCACCTATGTCTTCAAGGCATTTTAGCATACTTCCAGCCATTAGGTGTTGTTCTAAAAACTAATTACTCAGTACTACTTGAAATAAAATGTGGCTAGAAACATGAATCCGATACCCCATGGTCTGTTATGTTTGTGATATATTGTCTGATATCAATTAACTTTGAACTCTACGTCGTTAACACTATTAGAATCATGTAAGATAGTTTAACTAACTTCATGTTCGTCCTGGTTTACAATTTCTTCTATTATATCATCCACATGTTCGGCTCTTGGAGTCTCTTCTGTCGATGTATTTCTATAATAGAGAAAAAACAATGAGACTTGTTAGCATGAACATTTCCGACTTTTTAAATGGTACTAGAATCATTTGAAATATACGTGATTAGCAGACGTATGGATATTAAATATATGCCTTACACTAGAACATCAGTTAGAAAAAGTAATAAAAATTTATTAATGTCCAGAATACATTGTATATAATGTTTACTTTAAGGAGAAAATTCCATTAAGAAATCACTACACTTTTGATTTGAATTATTGAAAATGGTCATGGGCTAAAAATATTGCTTACGTGCATTTCAATCGCAATTGATTGTAATCTATCTGTCCATCTATGCACTGCCTGATAATGTGAGTGGCATCCTCCAGTGGTGGGGTCAAGAGGCAAGCTATGTGGTGTTTTTTCAACACCGTTTTTCCTTTTGGTTGTTTAGGTTGCTTCGTAATCTCACCCTTCCTCCACTTGATGTCAAAGTGTTTCAACTCTTGAAATGATTCTGTCGGCCATTGTGCAATACGTATTGCCACTCCGTATGAATTATTGAAATCACGTCTCTAAAAGTAAAGGTATATTGTGCAGATAGAACACTTTTTTCTTTTATTGCCTAATATATATATAGGAATTTGCAGGATATGAAGTTTAAAAATCGAAATGTCTACAGGGGCGTATCCAGCTTTCAGTCAGGGCAGGGGGGGGGGGGGGGGCGATCACCAAAAAATCCATTTTTAATCAGGGGATGCGATTGCGACACAAAAAGCCAACAATTAAGATTTATCTTGAATTTTACAAAAACTTCCTTCATAATAAATTGAGGTAGAAGCTTCAAATAAAAAGCATTTTAAAGCTATTTTCTTCTCAATCAATCACCAATTGCACCCCCCCCATGGCTACGCCTATGGTTTAATTGAAATGTAAAAACTCTGCATTGAACTACAAGTATTAAAAGTTGCTTTCACAAATAGCTGATACAGATATTCTATCTACTAGTATACTCATATGAACAGAGATATAGAATTTCAAACTGAAACATTAAGATAATTTGTTCTGACGCTGAAACAATATTTATGGCCAGCTAAATTTCTGAGAATTCAATGTGTTTCATTCGTTTACTCCTGGACTATATAATTTCCAAACAAGTTGCCCCGGAGCAGTTTACATATTTTTTCAATATGTAACTGAGGCCCGGGTATACTTTCATTAATGAAAAGAATTCTTATCCATAAAAATCGGCACAAATGAATGATAACATGATTAGGTTCGTATTTTACCCAACTTTCACCTGTTTTGTGGTTGAACGGAATTGAGTTGATGCAATTTTGAAATAGATAACTTTATCATTTTACGTCGTCCATCATCATAAACTTACATGATATATTAGAGAGATTTCGCACATACGTGAAAGTACAACTTATACGTATACGTATACTTTAAAGGGTCATGTCGAACTATTATATTTACTAAAATCAATTTCAAATTGTACTTAATGGAACATAACTATTCACGATATAGAAAAGCTCCATCAACTAGAGACTGTGAATGCACTGTCATCTGCACGTGTAGATTATGCACATTATAGTTAAATGCTTGCTTCCGTGTCCTAGTAGTTGTAGTGTATTATAAACACGATCCTTTAAAGTGAGTCATGATCCTTTAAAGCGAGTCATTACATAAACAAGTTGATTATTTCAAAGTTTTCATGATCAGTATAAGTTCAATGAACTTACAAAACGGTATATATACGAGATGATAAACGTATAGAGTTGGATCTCCGTATAAAGCTGTGTGGAACAATTGACCGTAAGCATTTTTTAAAAATAATTTGCTGAGTAGGAACAGTATCCAATCAAATACGTTAACCATCAATTTGAAACACCAATCAAACCAGAAGGTTCTAGCAATTTCTGGAAACGACCCATTCAGTAGCTCAACAAATGACATACAGGGTGTTTCATAACGAGCATCTAAAAAAGGCAATTTGAGAAGAGATAGATCTATAGCATACGTACTATATATGAGCCTATTTTATTCTAGACAAGCACATTTGGATCAACTAAACATGCTACAATTCATGAAAGAACAAAGGCATCCCTTTGACCTTTATTTATTACAGTCCGAGAAGATCTTTCCTGACGAAAAGCCCACATTATGAAACACCTTGTAAGTTTGCTTATAAGTATAAGTATACGTTATAAGTTGTAAATTCACGCCGTGCGAAATCTCTCTATTATAACGTAGTTTATACTTATAAACAATGAGTATACAGTTATAAAGAATAAAATGACGCAAACGAGTTTTATTTCCAAGAAGCACCTATTTCGTCTTGCCATTATTTTAAAACGGGTTCATGTAATCATAAAATATTGGATAAAAATGACTAATAATTTACATTTAATTGGTCCAGATTAAGTCGGAATTTCGTATTTCAAACCGACCTAGGACGCTTCAAATGCAATCTCATTTTAAAATTTTCTTGGGGGAGAACCCCCCCAAACCCCCCTCGAACTCGTTCGCATCGCTCACTCGTGGCGTACTCTCACAAAATACCCACGCTACGCCTCTGCACCACGCATTAACATCTCAGTACACTAGCGGACATTTTAAACATTTTTAACGTATTCCTGGGCCTCAGATATGGAATTGGTACGCGCGGCCGCGTAGTTGGTGTGTGCCTTGTTAATAATCTTGGTGGCCAGTGCTAGGCGCTGCATGTGTATGCAATCTTTGGCATAGAAGTCGGAATTTCATCTAATATAAAAGTTCCGTATTCCGCAAAGATATAGTTCAAGTTATTCCTTTTAATTGAAATATGAAATGTCATATGGATTGTATATCTGAAGCTCTATATATTAGTAGGTGTCATGCTCATCTATTGCATTGCGTAAATACGGTCCATTGTCTGAGTGATTCATACGTTCGATCAAATGTTATTTTGGGGTATTAGTTCACCGAGTCATCTTATTGAGATTTTAGATACAGCATGTCTGATCTATTTACAATATGTAGATTTATTTATCAATTTAAAAAATGTAATTCTTATAAGTTTGCATTTTTGCTAGATTAAAAAGACCACCTGCATTAAAGTTGATTTATAATTAAAATTAATGAGATGCATATTGGATGATCTCAACACGATAAGTACCAAGACCATTAACAGTTAGAATAACACAACCTAATGTCCAAGTGGCAATTTATGAGATAAGCAAGAACATTTACTGTGAAATATGGACACTTTGGTGTTGCATTTAATTTACAACGAGTGGTGCCTTACAGAAATTTGAGAACTATGGTGATAAGCGGAGATTGTTTGAGCATTTTAAAAACTCCATTTTGTGTAAAAATGTACAAGAACAACATTAAAATGAATGTTTACTTATTTCTATGTTGCTTGTGGACATACCTTTAGAGTTGATTGATTAAATTCAAATGTTAACGCAATTTAAATCATAGCACGAGGGACATCATACAATCAAATATTTAAAAAAGGCTTTATTTGCAAATATTTTTTTGGCTGAAAATAAGAACCTTCTGTTGTTGAAATTAATCCATAAACTCTAAAAAAGGATTAATTATACCTGTGTAAACAAAAGTCATTTCACAGATTGAATAATTAGGATTAAGGGTTTAAGCATATTATCTGTCATGTCTCAAAATATTTTTGCATCAGTTTTCTATATCATGCACCAATTTGCTCAAAGCTTATAAATCAATTTGGTGATAAATCCAAAATTTAACACTACGTTAATCATAGCATGGGGGAAATTTCTCTATTTCCAGCTCGTTTTAAATAACTATCAAAGAAACAAAAGTTGGCCTGTCTTGCTTCTGCGAGATTTGATGATTACAGCTGAGTGTGACTGGGACTGTCAAGTTGCGTCAATGGGTTTTACTAAAACGCAGCGTCTTAAACTGACCATCGTTATCCCGGGGATCGCGGTGTATACACTTACACCCCTATCGGCAAGAACCAGCTTATGCCATCTACCAAAACGCACATGCCTTTTTGGCAGAGGGATCCAGGACATAAAAAGCATATTTTACGTAGAGCTTTTAACCTCGGTCATTTTATGTTTCAATAATATAAGCGAAGATATTTTCATATTTCATTAATTACGTAGCCCTCAATGTCTCCAGAGTGGACCTAACATATCATCTGTATTCGGTTACTTTATCTTTCGACACTCTATTTTTTGAAGTTATACTTTGACATTGTCACTTGACATCAACCGCTTATTGCATTTCTGAGAATACTTTATATACCATTTATCAATTATACCAAATTTCAAATCTGGGCACTATGCCAGGGCGATCGCACCACCTCCCCATTACCAATGAAAATATAACCATGAGATAAAAGAAGAAACGAGCTTTAAAATGCTTTTTATTTGAAGCTTCGAGCTCAATTTTGAAGGAAGTTGCATCAATTTTTGTAAATTTCAGGAAAAATCTTAATTTTTTGGCTTGTTTATGCCACAGCCGCACCCCCTGACTGAAAGCTGGCTACGCCCCTGTCAAGGTTCAGTTGCTCCACAATAAAATGACGTTTTAGTTATTAATTAATTATAACTAAGTTCATAACTTTATCCCTTATAGTTAATAACTAAAACGTCATTTTATTTAGGTAACACATGATTTCAGTGGAGCAACTGAACCTTGAGAATCAAGATTGCTTAAACGATCCAGACAAGGCATCGTGGCCAGATTTATAATTTGATAGGTATCCTATATAACCTAAATAGTCTTATATGTATGCCGAAAACTTGGTACAGATCTGTACTTGCCTTCAGGCTATTCATTTACTCCTGTTGACACTGTGTTTAGAATAAAATAATAAATGGTCCAGATACTGTTTTAGGATCTTTCTTAAATCCAGCCAGAAACTGCACCCAATATTGAATTGCTACTATATCTAGGTTATTTGAAAATATACTAAAAAGTGAATACATTAAACATGAGCTTATGCCCATGCATTAAAGAATGATCAAATTCTTATAAATACCAAGATTGCTTTTGTACTGTTTTTCTTTGGAGAATTAATTTGTTAACTTATTAATCATCACTTGCCCAGGGTACTTGATTAGCAGGTCTGCATAATAACTTTATGATTAGATGAACTTGCACCATTTTCAATATTAGAATAAAACCTGGATATATCAGAATTTCAGATAATTCTGATATCCGTTAATGTTCATCCAGTGTGGGCAATAAAAAGTAGGAAGGCACTGTTTTCTTCAAGCAATTCCGGGTGTTAAAAGATTCAAAAAAAGAAAAGGAAAAAAATTTGAGAAGTCACAAATTCATAAGAAATTTGATCGCCGCAAAATTTAAAAAACTGAGAATTAGTGAATATTCATAGCCGCGAAACTTCGAAATTGCAAAAAAGTGAAATATAATAGCGTCAAATATAAGTTAGAGTAGAGTATTATATTATAAACTGTTTATGTTTTCTTATTTCCAAAATTAATAAAATCTAGAAGGACCCCTCCCCTTCTGATATTAATAGCATAGATATGTGATAAAATACAAATATAATGATACAATATAATATGAAAGTCAAGCAAACCTCCCCCCCCCATCCTTATTAGAACAAGCTCCCAGAGATCTTCTTTATTTGAACTCATTTCAGATAATGATAATAATATAATTTCAGATTGAAAATCATCAACTTCTAAGATGGTTAGAATGGAACGTTAGGAGTTGAGAATCATGCTTAGCGATTGAAAGCTTCTACACAAACTCCTCATACACAGTAGTAGGCTTAAATTTCAAAATCAAAGCAATTAACGATCAGCTGTTTAAGATAAGGTGACAGCCTCATTGATTTTAGCCAGAGAAAAAATTTGAAAATTTAATGTCTTTCTGGGTCTTAATTTGGCGTTTCCATGAAATTTGCGAGGGTTAAAGATAAAATCAATGCTAAAATCGTTTGGTCTTATTTACTACTTACCTTTTGGATACCCCGCACTTGTTGGCACGTCGCCTTCCATGCTTCGACAAGTTTTCTATCATTAGGTGGGTCAACTGTTGTGGTCTCTATTTCTGACTTGCCCGAGAGTTGATATAGAGCTGCTCTCATTTCGCATATATTTTCCATGTAGGATTCCTCTTTGCCACTTTTCCGCACAATATTGTGGAGGTTTGCGAGGTGCCTCGCAAGATGGTTTGGCAATCCACAATACACGATTGCATCTCTAAATCGAAACATGTTTTTTACATGTTCCGAAATAGTGTCATCGTTTAGAATAGAAAGGAACGCTTCTCTACTATGGTTTCCCCCTATTACTTCTAATATTGTTCTTTCCCTTGAAATCACTTCTTTCGTAAATTGTTTGACATTTGGCACATTGACCAGTATAAGGTGAAAATATCCACTGGGGTTTTTGAGGAATGTTTCTTTGAGACTCTGGACATGGTTTGGATCGGGAGGGCGCACGGATCTTTCCCAAGAAGGGGCAGTCAATTTACGCACATCAACTTTGAAAATTCCACAATAGAAGTCAGACGGGTTCTCTTTCTCCGATGAGGGGGCTTTGTCATCGGGTGTCTTTAACTGGCAATGTTCCTCTATCGCAGTACAAAGTGCTGATCTGGAGGTTCTTTCCCGGACAGTCAAGCCGTCAAATATAATTTGACTGTCTTCAGAATTTGGTGTGAACGACTTTAGTAACAGGTATATCGTCGTGTTGTTTACATCTGTTGCCTGGAAACGTGTAAAAAACGTATTAGAGTGAAAACCAATTAACTGCTTCACACATAAAAGTTACGCTCCCAGATTGGGTTAATTCTAAATGGTTCAATTACTCTTTCTCAATGCACTATGAAGAATTATATTTACGTGAACGTTTTTTGCACGTGCCATATTGTATAAGAAGAATCACACAAACGCCCTTTATACAACATCATACTTATAAATAACAATAATGAACATTATTGCCACCTTGCCGATCCTTTTTAGCGTATTAATACAGTTAAGTAGCATGAAACAAAGTGAAATCCTGGACCGGACCTTCTAGTAAAGCTTTTAATTGCAATTTCAGACAAACTTTTTAAATTAAAAAGGAGACAATCTCATGTTTTACCTTAACGGCAGTTCTAGCGTTTGCAGGCTCTATTGTTTTTATTTCTATGGCTTCGTTATTTTCCCTCTCTAGCCATATTTGCTCCTCTTTTTGGGTAATCCACCACAAACAAGTGTTTATCATGTTATCTGCCATGTTAGTTCAGATGAAACAAGCGCAAGTATCCTGGGTTCTTGTGCGCATGCGCTTTGACTGAACTAGTTTGAGACCCACAAGTCATTCTTACTTGCAATGGCGTTTCTCTACTGGTTTTTGATATGGCTTTGCCCATCATTTTATTTACTTCCATCCCCTCAAATGGATTTTAAAATCGTCAATGAAACACAAAGGAGTGAAAATGCTATCGGTGACAAGATGCGACCATCATCTCACGATAAGGAAGACAAACGAAATTTGCCACGATTTTATCCCGGTGACGATGACTTTAAGAAACAATGGCCATGGAGACCACTTTTTTATCCTACATCAAACTGGTTTGATTATGCCGATGATATGTCATTCAAATTAGACGAGTCTTTTTATTTAATGGAACTCCAAGATGCTCTACCATACGTCTATGCCTTGATAAACTCCGTCGACTTTATGACAGTTCGTAGAAATTTTCGTAAGTTTATGATGTACAACGACGAGGATATGATCATTGAAAAACGTTGCACAATAATATTACCAGATGGAGAAAAACTAATCGCTAAAATTCGAGTCGGTATAGATGTTGCCGAATTCAAACACATCATTCACGACAAGGTTTCCACACATTTAGGAATACCCCAGGAATTACTGCAGTTGTACATCAACGGTAAAATGGTATGTTGCTTTATGTACGTTTTGTAATTATTATATGATCTTTTCATTCTCGAACAATGGTGTTTAAGAAGCTTGCAATCGAATAAGACAGACAGGGGCGTAGCCAGCTTTCAGTCGGGGGGGGGGTGGGGGGGGGGGGGGGGGTTGGTGCGATTTTCAGTAAACAAGCCAAAAAATAAGATTTAATTTTGAATTTTACAAAAATTGATGCAACTTCTTTCGAATTTGAGCTAGAAGCTTCAAATAAAAAGTATTTTAAAGCTCTTATCATTATCATTATTATATATGGGGGGGGGTGCAACGCACATATCACACACACCCCTGGCTACGCCTATGATAGGATACACCGCAACTTACAGTTGTGAAATAGATTTTATTGTGTTATGTGTAGTACTAAGCAGCCAAGTAGTTTTTACAATCATTTACATTGCATTACAGATAATTCATCAAGAGCAGATCGAGCACGATGAGATGAATATTTACGTATTGATGGGCTTGAAAGGGGGTGTGCGACAAACATCAACTCCAAGCAGAAGTGATATTTACACGCAACTTGATAGCACCCATGAAAGCTTCGCTTGCAATTGCAATGGTGCATGCAATTGCCATATGTTTACGGGGAATCTTTCACCTATAACAAATCAGCACAAAGACGACGCTAAAACACGTGCAAGTTCAAGTACACCATTAAGAGACTCTTTCGTATATGAGAAGTCGCCCAATTTTCAGAGCTCTTCTACAATTCGGGATTCAGTCTACTTCGAGCCCTCATCTCCAATTGATTCCGTTTTCCAAGAGAAGAATACCTCCCGGGATCTGATTAATTTTGAACATTCATCCCCGATCGATTCAAACAATGGTATCAGTCTTTCTAAAGATCAACATCCACTATATGGTTCCGAGGTCGAAAAACGCCGTAAATATATTGACAATGTTACCCTAAAACGATCATTACGAGAGTCAACACAATTTGAATTTTCATCGCCTTTGGAGGAAGATAAGACACTGGTATCTAATGGCTGTGAAACAAATGTATTTTCATTTGAAAGTGAAAGTGATTCCAGTGTGCGCAGTTGTCAAAGGGTCGATAAATCTAAATTGAACAAACGACAATTTAAAAGAAAAGTGTCAAAGTCCTTATTCCAGCCAAGACAATCTAATGATAACAACACCGTTGTTCCACCGTACTTTGTGAGGCTCGAAGAAAGCTCGTCTTCTGAATCAGATTCGTCTGAATCAAGCGTGAATTCCCTTGAGCATGTGGGGTCGGATTTGGAAGTAGTTCAACCAAAACTTGATAGGTCGGATGACAAAACAATTGAAGAGGCTGTCGAAATAGGTATGTTGTTTATTTACACTATGAGCACACCATATACCATGGCAAAGTCATATTTTATTCACGGGGCCCCCAAAAGTAAAACAGGTGCTATAAATCATACTGGTGTTTGAAATGAAAAAGTATGGAATAATTGTGATCCAGTTTAGTAAAAAAACAGTTTGAAAATGAAAATGCATTTTTAATTGATTGATTTATCATAGTGCCTTAAGAGCGGTGGCACAGAAAAGTATGGTGCGAATGACAAAAATCATAGATAAAAATACATATCATAGATCAGGCCAAAACGTCCCTTCCTCATTTTATTGGAAAGAAATCTTAGATACTGGCAACATGGACGCAGAAACTACTCCACAAACAAAAAGCATCAGTATTCCACCCCTACCAGATAATTTCACTCTCTAATTGGTTTTATATCAAAGTAATCTTTCCATCAATTAACACCTCATTATGTTAACATGTTTAAGGTCTCTCTTGACCATATTGTACTAATATTTTTCAATTTTCTTGCATAGTAAATGAGAATTAAAGTGAAAAGTTCAACTTTGTCTGTCTGGATGGTGTACACAAATTGAAACTTAAAATCAAAAAACTTGAGATATGTATTTTTTATCATGAATTGAAAGTAGCATTTAAGAAAAGTTTTCAATTTGGAATAATTAAAAAGTAAAATTAGGAACTCATCAAAATTATTAAAAAGTTATAATGATTTTAAAACAGTAGGGTAATAGAAAATAAAATGGATACACATTTAACACATTAAACCAAGCATTTCTCTATAGATTTGAAAGTGTTGATTACACAGTGAAACTTCAGATGTCTTTTTCTAATTGGTTGATGAGCATGAGCCGTTTTCACAATATTAAAGCACAGAAATTCTTCTTTATCATTGTCTAAAAATGAAACATGTGAAAAATACATTAGTATAAATATAATGAATTTAAGAATTTTATTTAAGAGGCTTAATTAAAACTCTGACCATAGCTTAGCAGTGATTACAGTGAGAAGTAAGAGATAAACAACACACAGGCACTGGAAAGTGGTGTAATTAATCATTTAATCTTCAGCAGAAGCAGATACACGCGGTACTAACTTCGACCGTTAATTTGAATTTTTGACCTACTGGATGTTTGAAAATCAAGGATTACGAGTCTCATAATGCACCGTTTTTCTTCAAACTTGATCCATTCAAAGCATAACAAAAATCCCTTTCTGTTGGTACATTATTCTTCTAAACAGAGTCCCTTCTTCCAGCGGCATTTTGGTCCCCAGCTGTAAGAAGGCCTTCTAACAGCTGGGGACCAAAGCACTGCTAGAACGAGGAACTCTTTACAATACAGTAATGCACCGACAGAAAGGCAATTTTGTTTTGCTTTTAATGGTATAAGTTTGAAGAAAAACGGTGCTGTATGAGACTCGCAATCCTTGATTTTGAAACATCCGGTAGGTCAAAAAATTCTAATTAACGGTCGAAGTTAATACCGCGTGAGATAAGCTTTGAAAAGCGAATGTCCTACTGATATGTGCTGTGCATTATATTCCACACTACATTTGAAAGTTAATGGTTCATATAACTGCAAAATTATTTACCGATCTGTAATGGCTTAGAAGAGTACTCGTCAATTATTTAATCGAGTCTAAGTGTATAAAGTCTGATAGATGACATGCTGTACATTTGATGAAACCAACATAGCTGCACACTTCCCTTAGATCAATATTCAAATAGGGTTTCAACAAGTCCCTATGTGGAGATTATAGATCTATGGCCCCATTTCAAACACATCAAATTTGTGAATCTTGAACACTTAGTTGACATTTTGCCAGTAAAAGACAGCGTTAGGCTGTTATCAGCTTCTGGAGATATTTTTGATACTCGGTAGTACAGTAGTAGCCTTGCCCAAGTCGGTATTTTTTTACTTATCTGATCTTGAACTATTACCATAATAGAAATCAAGATAAGTAAAAGAGACCGACTTGGGCAAGGCTATTACAGTAGATATTTTCATGAAATCTGGAATAAATTGGTGAAAATATGTTTCAATAGTTTTTAAAGGAGGCCGAAACAAAACAAAAGCAAACAAAGGGAACATATGTACAAAACAGTGTTTGAATTCATTGATAATATCATAATTATTGACATGTGGTTTCTCACAGTGCAATTTTATGTAAATACATGACGTTGTTTGATCACTTTAAAGTAATTGTACATGTGATAGAGAGATGAAGCCGCTCAATGATGAATTGATTATGAATATAAAAAATCCCAGAAAACAGAAGAGATTTAATCTTCATGATATTAATTCCATTAATTGTTGCATTGGTTAATGTAATGATTATTCTTATTAATGATACACCCCCTTTTCCTTGAGGTAGAATAATGATACTGCAATATGCCATGCAGTATCCGAGGAGGTGTGGGCTCACTGTTTGGGATATCAACAATTATAAAACTGTGCTACACTTTCATGTATAGAACATGGAAAGTCTCAAGGGGTTGGCCTTGGGAATCTTAACCGTATTTTCTAGTTTTTTAAAAACAATTGCAGTAATTTCAGCAGTGATTCTAATAACGTTGTAAATATTATCGCAGTACTCAAACTGAACTTCAGAACTAAAACTGCTATCATGATGCAATTTCCAAATCGTCTGTAACTCTCTTACTTGGCAAGTTTTTGTCTGATTTTAAAGAGTTGCATTTTCAAAGAAACAGCTCTTTAGAAGAGAACTTTTAATGAAAATGGGATTGCTTCAACAAGACAAAATATATATGGGCTGTATTCTCATTTGGTTTCAATTACGCAGGTAATCGTGTCATTTAAAAAGCCGCCTCTTTTGATTAATGGAGAGGTTAAGCTAACGATGTTTTTCACAACGTAACCGTGAACGCAAAGTACAAAAATTAACAATTGAATGTATCGAGCGCTCATAGTTTTATGCGCGCTTAGTCTACTTCAGATACTCTTTCAGCTTCAGAGTTTCGGGTTTAGAACGGGAGATTTGAATATTTGACGTTGGGTCAACGGGAACCATTTTACTCGTGTCTATTGAACACTATGCTGTCAATTTTGATTTCGATGCACAGTTGAATTCTTGCTGAACACGATGGTGTATGTCATGCATGATTTAGCGCCAAAAATCTTACGAAACGAGCTCGTTTAAAATATGTATTAGAAAACCAGCTATAAAACCGCATCAATGACATACTATAGAATCATTACACGCTATGGTGTAGTCTAAACAAACACTGGATTTGAACGGCTATTTATATGAGAAGGCTACATGAATTTGTATATGGTCGAGTGATACGTACAGGTTCAGTTTCGATTATATATGCAAAGCTTAACCTCTCCATTGTTTGCATTCTGCACATGTATTTATATTAGTTATCCGCGAAGAATTTCCTGACCATGGTAAACATTGGGCACATTTTCTGAAAAATCTGAAAAATCTGTTCAGTGACCTTTCCCAAGCTCCTACTTTTAGCTATTTTTTAGCTACATTTTCAGAGGGCTGAAAAAGTTATTTCATCATGTTTAGGGTCATTCTGACTGCATGTACATTGTGATCCTGGTCATGTAAATGATACGTGGAACTAGTTTAATTGACTGGAGTTCAAAACAGAACTCTGTTATCTTTGTTCAAAAATGTCTTTAAATGCAGCAATGTTTTGTCACTTCCTGTTTTGTTATTCCCTGTTGAGTACCACTATATATTTTCCCGATAGTTCGAGTTATTTTGTATACTTATATTCAGTAAGTAAGGTTAACATTGAATATATTAAACGTCATCCCGTCTTCCAACGTGTTAAATGTAAGAAAAGTAGTTCTAAATAAATCTGTGTATAGCTAACTCTTGCATCTATGTTTATTTCAGCAAAGAACAAAGGCGCCAGAACATCAAAAATGCTTATACGAAGTATTCAGGGAGAGTCTATAAAGAATTGCATAGCTACAAACCACTGTTCAAATCGATGTCATGAAATACTGACATTTAATGAGATAAAACATGCAAGGGAGTCCTTTTGGACAAAAAACTTTATTCAACGTAACCAATGGTTACTTTATGAAATAAGGCTTTCAAAGCATGGAGTTGATAAACAATCGTTTAGAGTGCCTACATCATCATATTCAATAAATGTATGCTCACTTTGCTGGAGAGCAATTTACATGATCCCCAAGCATGCATTTTATAAATGTAACAATAAAGTGGCGGAGGGATTTTTAAATTCTGCAAGAAGTTACCGGACCAAGCGGTTTTCAAGGGATGCGAAAGTTGCAGCATGGTTCAGCAACTATGTAACATTAGGCGGTTGTCGAATGCCGCACAAGAAAGTAGACGAAATCTGGCTTCCCTACAAGACCGAGTGGAAGGATGTTTACTCAAAATATAAAGAGGACATGGTTAGGAAAGATGAAATTGCTGTTTCTTACAGTTCTTTTAGGAACACAAGAAAGAAATATTTTAGCCATGTAAAGATTAAAACAGTGAGTCATTTTCTAGTACCAACATAATGTATCAACTTGTTTGACCACACTTATTTGTTTTTGATATTTTCAGTCATAGTACCTCAGTCGTACCTGTACGCAGATGGTTATTTAACACAGTTAACAAATATTTCTTTCATGACCAGTACATCAGTTATGAAATATAATACAGTCATAGATATCCGACATTCTCAACATTCATCAAGAAATTGTGATATACTGTATTGTACCTTGTAGGTCTAAGTGCACGTTGGATTAAATCTAGGAGGATTTCATCCTAGTTCTAAATGCGCACATACTTAAACAAACTAAAAACAATTAATGTTCTAAAAGCCATGTCTTCACCATTTCTGACTTGTTTTGATGTCCACCTTAGTAGGGTTACTCAATCGTTTGCATTTATGTGCAATTTAGGCAAATAAATTATATAATTATAATGATTTAACATATTCGTATATGTACATTATTTGGTTCCTTGACGTTTTTGTTGATGTGCTTATAATGAATGATTTCAGACAAACTCTTTTAGTAGATGCGCCAGATGCACCTTATTAGAACGACAGGAAGAGGGTGCGAAAACCAAAGAGAGAAAATTGAAAATTGCCAAGAAGCGGGCCCTGCACGATAGACGTCAAAGGTATGATGTGAATTTGCTGTTCATCCCTTCTATTATGTACCCTGCGCGCAGTCTAGTTATAAACTTCAACGAACCTCTTTTTAAGACATGAAGTCGAACGAATGCAAAGGGTATTTACAATGCTTTCAATGCTTTTCTCTCTCTCTCTCTCTCTCTCTCTCTCTCTCTCTCTCTCTCCCTCCCTCCCTCCCTCCCTCCCTCCCTCCCTCCCTCCCTCCCTCTCTCTCTCTCTCTCTCTTATATGGACCTCATTTTCTATTCATTATGAGACGGTATTATATATCTTCAATTATTTTATTCGGGACAGTGAACTGCAGTAGTTGCGTAAATATAATGGGCAAAATACATTCACAAAATTGTTCTAAAAGCAAGCGTATTTTCAGGCTTGAGAGGGCTGCCTACTATGCGAGACGTGATAAATCAAAGGAAAATCCTAAGAAATATCTTAGTATTATCATCGATGGAATGGATCAGGCCAAAACGTCCCTTCCTCATTTTATTGGAAAGAAATCTAAGGTACTGGCAACATGGATGGGTTTTCAATAATTATAACTGACTTCAATTTACACAACTGAATACTTCAGTAATTAAACACTCATTTTTACAATTGTTCATGGTCCTAGAATGTTATGGCACTTAGCAGCTTATAATTCACATTAGCATTACACGTGGCCATTATCAACAGGACACTTACCTAAAGGTTAATTGATCAGCTCTGCATTTGAGGGGTAAAACATTGATTTAGACTTTTCATGTAAGGGAGCGGTAAACATTGGATTGTTACAAACGGCTGCATAGGTTAATTAAAGGGGCAAAGAGGTCTGTAGAGAGAAAATTATTTTTTTTACTTTTTCTGAGCTACCGGGGCAGCATTTGGCTTAACATCTTTTTTGACATATATGTTTTCTTAATATGTATGGATAATCTATCAATGTCAGCATTAAGAAGTGTAAATTCAGTTCAAAGCTTCTTTAAAGGGAGTCCCACTCAAATATTTTTAAGATCATTCACGTTTCAAGAGGAATATCAGCTAAAATAAAGTTCATACATGATTGTTTTGGAGAAAATTAAAACATATGTTAGTCTTGATGAAATGTCCAAAATTGTATACATTTTGACACTGGTTCATGGTCGTTGAATGGCCCCTTTGCACTAATTGTTACACCTTTAAATATTCATAGAAAATAAGACTTATTCGTTTGTCCCATTAATTGAAAGTTTGTACAAGCTGGGGGGGGGGTATACCGTATCCTCAATACATTAAATAATTCGATATTTCGATTTCAGGATTTGAATCCGCAACACTTCCTAAAGGTGCACGTATCTGGGGTCCTCAACCATGGAACAAAGGAAGCATTGACGTATATTGATTTGTTTGAGTACCCACATGATTCCAACTTGGTGATGAATATTTTAAACAAAATTATTCTGGATATCCATATGACCAAGGTAATAACGTTTAATCCACACAGAAATTCTCTATAATGGGTAAATCAAGATCTAGAGAAGGCGAACTATATTTCTTACATATCATTGTGAAATAATTCCTGGAATAAAGTAAGGACTTTTTGGAATTTTTACAAAATTGACATACCAAGGAATGATATGAGCCCAAAATATAATACAATTGAAACACTTTTTGTTTTGCTTGCTCTCTAAAATCCGATTCTCTCTCAAATAGCAAACTATAATAATTATATCATATTATAAAATAGCCTAACACGAATCACTCTGCATCCGAGAATTACGTAATATAATTATGTCGTATAGATCAATGTCTTCATTTTAGGGTTGCCATCCTCCTATATTATACCTACAGGCTGATAATTGTTATCGAGAAAACAAGAACAAGTATTTGCTAGGATTCCTCGATATGTTGGTACACGCAAGAATATTTCACGAGGTATCAATTATTTTCAATTAAAAGTTAAATGGGATATTTAGGAGAGACTTATATTAAGTTGGATATCCACCCTCCCCCTAAAACTTAATTCTTAAAATATAGAAAATCGAGTCTGAGGATTGAAATGAAAAAAAGTAAAGTTTGCCCAATACATGATGGAAATCGGCAACAAAGTTCAGCAACATTTTTCAAGGATGATGATTAGCTTTTAAATATGTATATAAATTAGTCATTCCAATGCTACATTTCATGTCGCTTTACTATATTTTTGAAGGCAGTAAAACTCAGATTTTATGAAATTCCCAACATTCATTTTTCGGATGGAAACATTTCAGTGTTGAACCCACCCCCATTTGTTACGTTTCTAAACAGACTTTGAAATTTTGACGTCTCCCCTTAGCTGACCAGTATTCGTAAGCTTATTTTGTAACAAAGTCGAATAAGGTTTAGAAGCATAATCATTCATTTAAGTTCTAGAGATTTATTTAAAATGGAAAATCATACATTGCACGGTGCTTTAAGCAACCTGTGTGTAAATCATTTACCAGTCCTTATCTGGTAAAAAAGATTTATTTATATTTATTTACATTCCTGTAGCCTTGCTACCATTGTTTGACAAAGCTACTATTTCTGACAAAGAGAATGGGGTTCCGTTTCTCCGACTCTGCCTCTGGCTACGAACCTGCAACCCCATCATGCTATAAATCATTCTGTTTATGTTCAGTGAGGAAAGTAATATTAACTGAGGATCATTAGAAAATTTCACAGATTGATGCATGTGTTTTTGAAACTATCTATAGACATATTTATAATTCTTCTTTTTCAGATTCAACTTTCCTTCCTCTATGTAGGCCATACCCACGAAGATATCGATCAACTATTCAGTAAAATAGCAGACAAACTTGTCAAAACAGAGTGTCAAACGTATGAGGATTTTATGTCACTTTTACCCAAATCCCGGCACATAAAAGACATGCTTCTCTTTAGAGAATGGCTCAGCCCATATTTAATTACCATCAAGAAACATAGCAAAACTGGCATGTTCAGGTTCAGGCTAGACGATACCAACAGTGAAGTTGTAAACGTGTATTATAGAAAAAACAGTAACCAGCGTTTTAGATTATTAGAAAATGGAATGTTTAAGCGGAACGAACATGGCAATCCAGTAAGACCAACCAATAAACCAGAAATTATGATTCCAAATTATGATGAACTCAAATTACATGATAAATTGAAATATTTAGAAGATTGGAAACTTTATTTTGATGACTTCTTGGAGGACACTGAATATATATTATGGAAACGTTTAATTAAGAGGTATATGTCCCCAGCAGCAACAACAGCCACTGTACAACCATTAGTATGTTTTGATCACGTGGATAAATACCGAATGGATGATTTACTGCTGAACAGAGATCTTGTTGAGCCTGGTGACGAGTTGTTAGATGAAATGCTACAACGGGAGCTTGAAAACCCAGCAGTAAGTAAAACAACCTTTTTGTTTAAACCTCGTGACGCCAGTACCATTAAATGCATCTTTTGAAATCGTTGGATAAAAGTGAGACGAATGTGTGTTTATAAATAAGGCTGACCTCATGAGTTCATGAGGTCAATATACCACAAGTTGACGAGAGGCATCTAAGATCGAGGTTTGCTTCTATTTCAAGCTCATGGGGAAAAGTTAATTGCCCCTGATCTTTATAACGGTAGTAATGATGGATATTACCCCAAAAATAAATGTAATACTAAATTGTATCTTATAATCAAATAATACAATTTATTCTGATTTGGGCAGATATAAGTTATAATATATGTAGTTATAATATGTTATGAATATAATATATATATGTATAATATGTTATGAATTTCCAGATTGAAGTCAGTGCAACAAAAAGACGAAACAATCCAACTAAAACCAAAGCAAACCCAAACTACCAGAAACAACAACAAAAGCAGTCGAACCAAAAGAAAACAATAAATATGTCAAAGAAGAGAAATAATCCTAAAAATACAAATACAGTTGGAAAAGCGACAACTAAAACGAAAGGAAAATAGAACTTTTATCACCCACACACTCCAACTCGTTTTTTATGTTTTTATGTTTATTGTTGTTATGTAAAAAAATCATCAAACATAAAAATTGGCATGAGTCTGAATTAGCATGTATTCGCGAATGCAACTACATTGTAACGCCTGTTTGCTACCGGATCAACCTACCTTTTATGACCAACTCATTAAGATATGAATGGAATAGTGGCAGGTACTTTTCATATTTAAACGAGTTGCCCGTAGAATAGTAGGTTAATCCGTTAGCCGGCAAACATTAGTTACATTCGCGTGCGAGTGCCATACTCGGAATACTGTGAACTGTTGACCCAAGGAAATCATGATTTCATTCATCTAACTACCGACCGCATAATGCGTGCGAGGCATAGACCAATAATATGCATTTTAGACAGTGTCACATTTTAGAGTGTCTTGAAGTTTTACATTATTGATTTAAACATATGTCGTTAATAACAAATAAAAAAGATGTAGTTTACATGTACAGTACAGGGTGTTTCATATGTATGCACCCCCCTCTAAACTCATACATGTAGCATTGCCACCCTATCGTGTTATATATCATTTTGTTCCTTATGTTACATACGATTCCAGGGGTGTCACTGACAAAATATATTTCTAGCTATTGTTACCATGGCTCAGAGCTCAGTCTACATGGCTTTGCCTAGTCATATAAATCCGACCTCCGTATGCTGTTATTTGTTGTTATTTTTTCTTATTTGGATGTTTATAATTCTTATTTTTTGCATACTGGGTTCGTAAACATTAGCCGCATCTTTATTGAGGGAAACGCTTTATTGGTCTGTCTCCCCAACCAAATGCTATATACTGGTATATGTAATTTTTAAATAAATTAATGTCCATAGACGCATGTAAACATAACAAGACTGCATTAAAACCGCCCGCAGATAAGATTTGTACATTGATATTTGTACATTGATATATTGATAACTTTTGGAGTACACGGTCACTTCTTATTTGTGTAAAAACCAATCAAGTATAACCTGAAAAAACGTGTTAAATGTTAAATGTCTCTACCTTGTATATATTATTCTATGAACTATGTAGCTAGTATTAAACAAGCCTGAGGGTGTCCATAGACACCTTTCCAAGCAACAATTCTTGTTTCATGTGTTTTCACAGTGTCTATAGACACTAGCCTGTTTTTTAGGAATGCATTTGTGTAGATTTAAAATGTTTATATATTGGACTTGCAGAGTGTCTATAGACACTTTGGGACTTTTGTGTATAGGGAATCTTGGAGGTGATATTAATGGATATATATCAATGCGGGTGTCCATAGACACCTTCAACTTCTCATTATTGGGAACTGTATTTTCCAATTTATTTGGTGACTCAAATATTTAAATTTCCTATTGGGTGTCCATAGACACTTTGCTCGCAAGCATTTTGTCAAGTGTTATCGTGGTGTCCATAGACATTTTTGATTTTCAATAAATCAACTAGGTAAGTGTCCATAGACACTTTTATTCTATAGACATGGAAACATTTTTATATTTGTTAGAGGGGTGTCCATAGACACCCCTCTTGTAAATATGATGACGTTTTGGGATGATTAGGAAATTGGTGCATTAACGCGTGAGTGGTGTCCATAGACACCTCATATATAGTAAAACATAAAGTGAATAATACTGTATCTGAATTATATTTTCAAAATTCAAACCATCACCATTTCTGTTATTCCATCACCACAACTTGTTTTTTAGAAAATAAGTACACAGATATTTGGAAATAAATATATGGTTTTAAAAGAGAAACCTGCATTTTCTCTTTTAGTTTTGCACCCTGTTATTTATAATTGTGTCAGATATTAGATTGATAACGTCACCTTGAATGCTTTTTTACAACCATATAAAGGTGCCCTGTTAAAATTATAACATATTTTATTTGTTAACGTTTATTTTTATAATATTTCTCAATCATAAATTACTGCTTAACTCCTAGATTTTCCAGGTAGATCATAACCTTAATTATCCCATCGAACGAAGTTCGGAGGGATATAGGGAACGCCTCCGTCCGTCCGTCCGTACGTACGTACGTCTGTACGTACGTCCGTCCGTCCGTCTGTCCGTCCGTCCGTCCGTCCGGGCAATAACTCAAAAACGGTTGGCCAGATTTTGTTCATATTTTGTACACATATACCCTATGGGGTTAGAAGTTCTGCTCTAAAGCCGATTTTCAAAATGACCGCTCATTTCAAAATGGCGGCCATTTTAATGACGATTTTACAGTAATTTAGGTGCAATATGTAAACTGTAATAGCAATATGTTTTAAATGTAAAAAAATTATAAAGGACGTTAATAATGCTACAAATGTAGATATTAAAGAAGCACATGGCAGCCATCTTGAAAAATGGCGGCCTTTACTCGTCATTTTACGATTTTTGCTGTAACTCAAAAAGTAGTGGAGCGATTTTGTTCATATTTGGTATGTGGATACTATAAGCATTGCACACGTTCTAAAGACACTTTTGGTAGAAGGTGGCCATTTTTCAAAATGGCCGCCATTTTAACGTATTTTACTATAACTCGAAAAGTAGTGGAGCGATTTTGTTCATATTTGGTATGTGAATACTATAAGCATGGCACACTGTCCTATGACACTTTGGTAGAAGGCGGCCATTTTGAAAACAATTTTGAAAAATGGCCGCCATTTTAACGTATTTTACTATAACTCGAAAAGTAGTGGAGCGATTTTGTTCATAATTGATATGTGAATACTTTAAGCGTGGCACATTGTCTAATAAAACTTTAGGGAGTAGTCGGCCATTTTGAAAAATGGCCACCATTTTTATGTGTGTTATTTTACAAGCATGTGTGCGATTTTTCAAAAATTTTAGAGGTGGCTACTTAAAAGCATATTATTTCTTCTGATGACAACTTGGCTAGTGAGCAACCATTTTGAAAATGGTGGCCTTTCTGGTGTGTTGTTTTATGATATTTGCGCTTCGTTTGTAAAAATGCCAGCCATTTCTGTTCGATGGGATTCGCTACGCTTTGGCGTTGCCGTTGTTCTGGTTCATAATTGTGTCAGATTAAAAGATAATACATTTAATGTAATCTTGTTTTAATTCATGTTATATTTATCTAATATGCTTTTTTACAACCATATAAAGGTATCCTGTTGAAATTATAAAATATTTTATTTTATTTGTTTACGTTTATTTTTTTAATATTTCTCAGTCATACTAGTATATTCCTGCTAGTACTAGATTTTCCTGGTAGATCATAACCTTAATTCATAATTGTGTCAGATTAAAAGATAATACATTTAATGTAATCTTGTTTCAATTCATATCATATTCATCTAATATTCTTTTTTTCACAACCATATGAAGGTACCCTGTTAAAAGGTTAGATATATTAATTACTACTGAAAAAAAGATAGCAAAATTAATGATGTATTTGCATTTGAATGCCTTTAATTGAGTATGGTCATCAAAACTAACAATTTTCTTGTTTGTTTTCAGTTCCCAGGCAACACCACTGGTAACCATAGTAACATCTCCCTAGTAACAGAAGAGGATCAAGGAAGCTGGTTAAAGTTTATGAAACGGTCCCCTGATCCTGATGAATGTAACGCTATCGTCACCCTTCAAGGTAATTGCCTTTGCATTATGTCGCCAACACATTGTTATAGTCTCCAACTTTTTCTGGCCAGCGTTCGGTGGTCGATGTTTGGCGTCTGTAACACGTTCAGCGGTTTGAGTCTGTAACAAATGGCAGGTGGTGATATTTTGCATGTTAATGCTTTGTACTGTATTGTTGTGGCTCATCCAAGAATTGTTAATATATTCAATCCATCACATTTTTTTCACCAGCATCTGGTATCTGTGACATATGGTTACAATGTAGGGTGGAAAAGAGTGTAATTAGCAAGGAATAATGAGCCATGTTCTCAATACATTTTAAATTGTATAGAAATGTAAGAAATTCAAGACTTATTCAAATTTTTGCCCCCATGACTGATTAAATAAATTCGATAGTCATCTGTAAAATACTTTTTTAATACATTGATTGGCATTAGAATCCTGAACATTATTAAACCGTCAATTTATTCAATTTGAACAAATTGGGGTTTTATTTGAATAAACTGTTTGACTGTTTAAATAGACATGATGGTCCACAAAACATATCACCTAGAGTTCCTAAAAAACTGAAATTTCTTGATTAGCAGATTGGTGATGCGTCATATTTTTTACCGATTATGATATTTTGTGATTATTTGTGATAAATCCCAAGGAAGTGTTTTTGAAATGAGTCATTTATGAGCACTTTTTCTGGTAACGTGTTATCAGATTGTCTAAGTAACTAAACAACGATTTGCTGATATATTTTTTTCTGAGGATTGACGATTATAAATTAGTTCAACATATCTTTACTTGTATGATCCAAATCAGACATATGTCAAGTAGTTCCAAGAAAATGCTCCCGTCTTAGTATATTTTGCGCTATTTCTCTTTACAATTTGAATGAAGTGTGTGAATTTTGAGTATTTCTCAACAATTTAGAGTGTTGACCTCATGTGTGTTTACTTTTTTTCTTGGAATTTCCATTATTTTGTCCGATTTTTTTATTTTAAAACGTGGCTGTTGGGTGTTTTTGGGACTGGTAAAAGGAGCATCCTTTAAATTACTTGTATTTTTAATCTACACCACTTGGAAACCTACTTAAAGATTAGAATATGTTTTTGATAGTAGAATTGTGATCCTCTAACGTCAATTTTAAGATTCATCACTGATCCGTCTAAGATTTAGTTTTCTCCCCTCGATCAAATTATCTCTGTTTCTTCAAATTTCGCTATATTTCTCTGTAGAAATTGAATGAAATGTCTGTTTTTCTTGCATTTCTAAATAATTTAGAGTGTTGACCACATGTCTGTGTACTTTATTCCTTGTTGATTTCACTCCTTTTCAATTAAATATGCATTTAACAACATGACCACCCAAATGTTTTTTGTGTTCTCAAGTAGATTGGTAGAATTATTGTGAAATTGGATGGTTTTGTTGAATTCCTGTCGAGGCTTAAATATGTCAAAACTTTTTCACAATCTATGGAGATTTTTTTCTGTAAATGATGTTTTAAAATATCTAAAATACTTTTCTTGGTCTCAATCAGTGTTGATCGAGGAATTTTCATGAAATATTTTTGTAAAATTGACTACGACCAAGTTAATTTTTTTTTTTTAAAGTGCAGCGCTATTTTTTGGGAATAAATTTTATTTGTTACATTAATAATTTGCATAATCAGTTATTCCAGGGTAATTTCTGCCTGTTTTCTATATTGGTTTTATTTATCAAGTTAAGTTAATACATTTTTCCTAATATCACTGATGCAATCATAATTATGTTAACATGGAAAAAACAAAGATGTTTAATGTAAACTCAGATAACAAATGCGAACAAATAGAGATTATTTGTCTTATGGAGAAAATGGGTGAATAAGACATGGTCAGACGGCAATTGGTGCATTATGGGATGTAACATTTGTACTGGTAACCTCCATGATGATGTAAGCCCTCGCCTCTTAGTCTCACATCAAAGTGATACCATGTTTTCCTAAGACCTCCGTTAGCAAATTTCGATAAAACATATCACGTCTAAAGAACCGTTATCATACAAAGCTAGCTCCTTATCTTTAGTTTAGTAGCTTCCCAAGTTAAGATCGCATCAAATTCGTAGTGTAATACTCTTCTGATAGTGATTTCATGCACACCTGCATAAGTTCTGAAGTCCGTCTGCTTCAGAGTGAAATCAGGCGATCAAACTTAATTCCCCAAATTTCTCATAAAAATTTGACTGAATTGTATTATATTTTTGGATTTTTATGTAATCTAAAGTGTTGGCTTCACATGTATTTATTTGATTTTTTGATTCTATCTTTATTTTGTTCATGATTTTGGCATTTTATTATGTGACCAATTGGATTTTTTTCATGGGTGAAAAGATTACAATGAAAGAGTTATCTTCTATAAAAACGTAGCTATAAGAATCAGATAGGGGACTCCAACATTTGGAACTTATTTATAGCCAAATCTGTGGAGTTTTCTGATAAATGAAATCATATCATTATCGATCATATTCACATATTCTATCTAAAATCCAAGTGAAGTTCGAGCTATTTTATGATTTCTAAACAATTTAAAGTATCACTATTATATATACCAGCTTCATTTCTTTTTAGTTTTTAATTAATCACTTGTTTTATACATTTTTAATACATTACCATTTTGGTATTTTCCGGTTGGGTTATCAACGGACTGTTTTAAGAAGGGTTGCATTGAGCCCTCCTTGATTAGATATCAACTTGAAAGACCGTGCCCTGGAGAGGGAACTATTTTTTGTGGTGATAGCACCCGCTGTGTGATAGGGCCAGTGATTAGAGACGGAGTTGGGTAATATCTTTACAAATACCTTGTATTAGGATAAATATGCCAATCTCTCATGTGTGTGTTACATTTCTTTTACAAAATAAATGTTTATCTGGAAGGGAACGTCTCAAAATATCAGTTATCACTCTACAAACACAAAATTTAGTTTAGCTAGCCTTGGTGAAGTCAGTGGTTTTGCCCGACATTATCATTTTTCCAGTACTTCGGAATAATATATAAGTGGCATAATTTTTACCTCATTAAAAGTACTCTGTCACATACGTGTATACTTATATAAATAGAAAAATAAAAACATTTTCTGAAATGAATTCAAGAATATTGAAAAATTTAATTAATAATTCATATTTTTGCTAAATGAAGTAGAAATTTATCAAATGTAACTATACTAGTAAAAAGTTTCTTAATCAATGTAAATATTGATACTTGATAGGGCCCCTTAGTATTTTCAGAAATGTTCTGTTATTTATGATTTATTGAAACATTTTGTAGTTCATATTATAATATGTCAAAACAAAGTGTAATTCAACAAAATGTAATAAATTATGAATATTTTACATAATTTCTTGGGATTTCCTCTCTACACTTTACATTTCATTCTTAAAGAATTTTTGTTCAATAAAAAAGGAAGCCAGTTAAACAGAGAATAGTTCATTATCAATTTTGGCAGAAAGTCCTAGAAAGAAAATAAATAGATTTTTCAGCCAAAGGATCCGGTTAAGATCAATGACAGTTAGAAAGAGAATGGTTAAGTATTTATAAATGGTGACATGTACAAAGAATGGAGCCTTGTGATAACACAAGCCAGCTGCAAAAAGTTATAACGGTCATGGTTTTAAACATGAAATTTCTTGAAATTTAGAGAAGTTATTCAAAATCTGAACCCATTAATATGAAGCCAAAACTCTAATTTGTATAAAAATGCAAAAAAATTTGGATGTTCATTCAAATTTTACGGAGAAATCTTAAGAATTATTGTCTAGCAGACGGACTTTTGAGTGCGGAGAGTTGATTATCGCATTGATGCTTCTTTATTAATTGCCTCCATGACATGAAAAATTGCTCCTATTTATTACATCTCCCTAAGAGTGAATCTGAATGTTTGTGTCTAACAGACCACGACTGATAGAAACTCGTGTTCTTTTTTGACTGTTGAGAACATCATCAGATTAGTTTTTCAGCAATCGGAAAGAGTAATGAGCGTCACTTGGAAATGAAGATAAAATATTAAACATTTGGGGTCCTTTTAGGGGAGGAAAGGGGTAGATATACTAAATAAACCTAACTGCCCATTAAATCACTTTATGTTTGTTTCTTTGGTTTTTGAATTTGAATTTTTATAACTGTTTGTTGTATTTTTGCCACGTAAACATTTAAAATTTCATTTTGATGTTTATCAAATAGAATGATTCATACTTTAGAAGTATTTATTACAAATTGCATGACTACATGATTGAATAGTTCAAACTGAATTGTACATATATTCTCTGATAAAAGATTTTTTCTGTATAGTGAAAAGGAAAGGAATCGCCATGAAATCGTGCCAACTCTTAAATTAGTTTTTAAAATCACTTAATTGATTCATCTATCTTTGACTTTTGAGAGATAAAACTTAAAATAAATAAAGCCAGATATTGTTTTTTCTTTGGGAGATTTCTCAAAGGGTCTGGTTTTTCCAATTAGCTATCTTTTAGAAAAGTCTGCGAGAACATATTTATCAAATGCCATTTTTCAGTTTTCATCAGCTTTCCTTTTGTTCTCGGATCACCATTTATAGGTATATTATTAAAAGGATGTCTAAAGTTAATTAAGCCATATTTCCCCCTTGCAATTTATTTCCCCTTTGCATTGATGAAAAATAATTGTTTGAATTTTATAATTCTAAGAGCAGGGCAGTTTCTATTATGTTTTTAGAAAAAGTATTTTGAATGCAATCTTAACTTCTGTTTTGTGTTTTAAGAATTCATGAAAACATTTTTGTCGAAAACAAGTGTAGTGAAGACTTTTGTGTTATCTGGGTCATAAATTTTTCCAGAATTCTCAGATTTGCATTTCTCTGTCTCGGACCATTCACGTGTAAAATCAAGTATTATTCCAAATTTATTGCTATCTCGATATTAAGCAAAAAATTCAGCAACAGTGACCTCATGACAATAGAACCGTACCAAAGAAATGATTATTACGTTTTTCGATGATAATTATATTGCATTTA